TGTCGCACCTTTTATCGATAACCGCCTCTGTGGTCTAGTGGTAAGACCACCTGTTTCAGACGCAGAGGTCCCGGGTTCGATTCCCAGTGGGGGCAGATTTTTCTGTTCGGTTTGGTTGGTGGTAGGGCATGTTCTAAGTCCGCCTGGCTAGCTACCACCATCTAACCTAAGTCTGTCGCCATAACAACAATGTTAACAGTAACAGCATTGTTGTGTTCCGTCAGTTAGAGATAAGATAGCCAGTACCTCCGTGGTTGAGACTCGTGGATAAAAAAAATCCTACGCGATAAGCCCATACATTTGTCGTCTAAATCGATAAGATTATATCACGGCATCCTGTCCGACTAGACCGTATATTTCGTGGTAATTTTATGTTTGTTAACTAAAAGCGGATGTAAATAATTTTAGTTGGTTTAAATATCGGTGTTTTAGACCGATTGTATGGGGAACTATCTTCGAAACGTTCAAATCTGACTACTAATACAGAATAAAAAAAAATGTGATCTAATAGAATTCAAAGACGAAATGAGATTTTTTAAATGTATTTTTGTGTATTTAAGTATCCCTGTATTTCAGTTATATGTCTGATACTAGTGTTGTTTAAATATCGATAGATAATTTTATCGACAATATTATCGGTTCGTCCAGTACCATCGATATACACATCACTAGTTATCTCACTTACAACACAAAGCTATTAGATGTAGGAATATTTTCAATGAAGTTACCTCTTCGTTTGTTTATAATCATTTCGACCGTGTAGAATACAAATAAACAATAGGTTATAATATTTTGAATCTCAATAATTTACTTTTACTGTCTGTATAAAGGTCGTAGCACACTTATCAACCCGGAAAGGGATCGTAACCGTATCAACTCCAGGCGGTCAGTATTCTTCAGTGAAGCTATACTACGACGCACACTTATCTTATACACAACCCTCGCCTCGCCAATTGTCAGCGCGCGAAAGGTGATACGGTGTTTATCCCTTTCCGAGTTGATAAGTCTGCTATGACCTTAATAGGGTTAAATTTTCTCAAACTCTCCTGACCTGGACACCACTGTGTGTATGTAGCTAAAGTCCGGTCGCCGAGCACATAGAATTTCGTCTACTGACCCCAAGCTACCCATCCTTGTCGCTCGCGCGTAATTATACAGGGTGTTGATTTCAATACTCGCCATATTTATTTAGGTGATATATTATGACTTACATAAACGCATTATCCACCAAAAAATAAATTACAAACGAAAGTGGAATTTTTAGCGAATATTTTCCGTGCAACATCAACTGTACTATGGCTCGCAATAATGCAATATACGTTTACTGTGGCACGGGCACCCATCGAGCTACGCGGATCGCTCGCTTATCATGTTGGATAGTCTACTGAAGGATACGTAAAGTTGGTAGTGTAAATAGGTATTTTTCTTTGACTAACTAAAGTTAAAGTTCGTTTTAAATTAGTTTGCTGTTTCCTATGTGTGTGCGAGTGTATTGGAGCGCTTTCCGCCACTACCTACCGCGACGGCGGGAGTATTTTCTACACAAAATTACAAGATTCACTTCCTACATTAAAAAGGAATGTCCTTTAAGTTTAGAGTTAGGTACTTACCAATGCGACTTCAGATGCGTTTCCACGTGCCCTCCCGTAACAGTAAACCATGTTTACGTACCTATCTACTCACGAGCACTGTACGTATGGTTAGGCATATTCCTAACACTCACTCACTATTACCACACTCACTATCACACGTTCATTATTGTATTTAAATGAAAGAAGTGCTAAATGATAGAAATTTTGTTTAGATACTGAAATCAATCGAGTTTAAAAACAAAATCTTGTCTTATCTCCTATCGAAAGTGAAGGAACAAGAGTTTGCCAGTGTGTTATTTCTAGGTGTTCAGTTTGCGGTAAGTTAAGTTTTATTTTAATAATTACTATCGTAAAGATGTAAAAGTTATTAAGGTAGAGAGCTAGTAGGTATGTAATGTAAGGAATAACGAACCTGTATGAGAGAGCATTATTGTCATCTGTTTACAGTACTTGTGAATGATAAGTAGGTACAAGCTTATCACACACATAAAAGCATGGTTTAATTTAAAAAAAAATGTAGCTTCTGTAAAATTTTTTATTTTGCGGAAGGAAGCAAATTCGTGTAAAAGGTTTTTTTATTAAAGACCTACTTAATTAATTAGTTTTTAGAACAAAAAATAAACTCGTAACGTGATAAGGTGTAATTAACTAATTTACTCATTACATTTTTAGGGTAGATTTGGATTAAGCTCCGTCCAGTAGTCGTCGTTGAACTCACAGCTGATTGTGGCTGATAGTTGACTGACTCATGGGCGAGCGCGGGTAGTGGGGCGCGGGACGGGGGGCGCAGCGCTTGCCCGGGTCACCGGGTGAGCGCCGCGCGCCGTTTGCGTTGGGGGACTATTCTGCACTGTAGTGGTCGATTATGGAAATCGTAGATATTTAAAATATAATTTAAAAAAAATTTGAAGTCAGTTTTTTTGCTGATTCCTGATCAGAATAAGCTACTTAATCAACTCCCTAAATATGGCGGGTATTGAAATCAACACCCTGTATTGCAGTCGCGACTGTGCGACGGGCGGCCGCAGTGAGTGTGCGAGCAGTGAATGTGCGTTCGGCGACCGGACTTTAGTAATGTAAAATAGTGATAGAGCCTGTAGTCCACGGCAACTGTAAAGTTTTTAAAGTGATAAGCTAGATTTATGACCATGTTTTAAAACATAGTACATAGGGATTGAATATAAGCGTGTATTAATGTGTTTATTTTTAATGTATGTGTCTATTGGAAAAATTGTTACCGATACCAATACCGAAAAGTGTTGTATTGTTATGTAACGTCGAAATTAACGTATAAATAATGTAACTAAAATATCCAGTTTTGATGTGCATGTGGATTGAGTGATCCTTGCTTCAATCTTAACAAAAATCGAGGAAGTTTTACTTAAAATATGTTAAAACATTGCGATGAAGTTTAAAAATTTGTTAAACCTAAGATAAAAATGTTATGGCCAATAAATAGGAGCACTCATACCGCACGCTTTAAGAAAACGTCAACATGTTTATTTCAGAAAATAAAGCCTTTCCACTTCTTTTTATAGTATTGAAAAATTGTTAAGAATATGTTAAAACTATTAACAAATTCAGAAATTCCTTGCACGTCCCGTTCCAAAGTTATGACGATTATTTAGGATCACTCACACCGCACACGGGCCGTATGAGTGCTCTTCAAAATAATGACTTTTTATTAATAAATACGTTTTATTTCTGTTGGGAAATGTGTGCAAACTGACGAGCGAATTTGTTAAAGAATAAGTGTGACAAAACTTAAAAGCTGAAGGAAGAAATTAACCTTTATTCTTTCCTCCAATATGCCGTGTGAGTGATCCTTGGACGGGTAGGCTGGCGCTCGAAGACCTTGGCAGCAGTGATGGGTGGGCCGGGCTATACCCTGGACTCCGTGGGCCGGGATTTCCCTGGACTCCGCTCGAACATGGGCCGGGCTATACCCTGGACTCCGTGGGCCGGGATATCCCTGGACTCCGCTCCTTCAATTCTTCTTTAAGGTGTGGCCGTTAGCTCAAGAGTTGACGTGGCATTGTTGGCCAAATTAAGACGTGTCAACTCACGGCGCAATGCTTTCATAGCTTGGTGACGGCATTTTTTGAAGAGGTAGTATGCGAGTGAAACCACCAAAATGATGAGTACTGCGATCACCAGAATTTCAGCAAGTTGTAGACCCGAAGTTTTTTGCGTGTGGGCGTCGCCGCTGGCAGTTTGAGCGATGATAACTTCTTCTTTGCTTTGCTTGTGTCCCATTTTGAAATGCAGCTAATAATGTTCTTCAATAATTTGTTCAATTTTCTCGTAGTTTCTAGAGTCTTGCCGGTTGATTTTCGCCAGTTGTTCTTGAATCTTCAGTTTCTTTAGGCAGGGTCGCCATGTGGTATGTTAAGTGAAAGACATGCGTAGGGTTTGAATGTCCAATCTTTAATAATTCGAAAAGTACAAATTTACTTAAAACTAAAATATAGCTAACTCAACACATTGAATGTGACACCATGTTGCAGTCACTAATTAAAATATAAATGTTACAGTACAACTAATAAATCAGTATACTTCACCTCCCCGAAAAGTACATATTACACCCCCGCTATTAAAAGAAAAAAAAGTAATGCAATGGNTATACTTCATAATAAACTATTTTTGTTGAATTTTTACTTTACATTTTATTTAACCTCTTAGATTAGAGTAATAAAATGTTGTTTTTAACTGTACCTATCATGTAATTTAATTATTATTTATCAGTTACACTTGGGCCACACATCGCGATAGCATTCGGGCGACAGCGGAGCGAGGTCTATTCGACTGTAAAAAGCAGTAAAGTATACGCATATACACTCGACATCAAATAAATCGCACCTCCCGCGACAAGTACTTTCAAACGAATGCTTCCCCACTTCCCACTAACATTGGCACCATTTAAAAGCCTAGTTCTAAACTTCATTTAATTAAAGGAAAGGTTTTTACCCCAAAAATGTGTCTTTAGAAGGATCCAGAGTCACTTCTTCCAAAAATAGGTAGTTACGCTTGAGCCAACTTTTATGGCTATAAAACTGTTAAGTTGGGATTAATCGCTATTCATCTGTTAAAGAGGACACGTGAGGTCATTATTTGGTTTTATAACCATAAAAATTGGTCTAATTTATCCCAGAGGGGAGCCCAAAGTGAGGTCTTTTTTAAAGTCACATTTATGGTATATGTGAATCATTTATTAAGAAATTAAATGTGTTTTTCTTTTAAAGATATTTATTGGGCTTTCAAATAATACCTTTATTGTTGGGGTACCATGATTGTGTTAGAAGAAAATCTTTAAAGTTCACGTCGCGGAAGGTGCGGTTTATTTGATGTTACTTGGCTACGCACCTTTTTGGGTTATTGTGACGTGGGTGGCCTAGGGGTTAAAGAAGCTAAAAAAAACGCTGTAAAATAAAAACAAACAATTTAATCGCTACAGTTAAACACAGTATACTTCAGCCCCACTTCGTAAGTCTTGTCAATGATGTCACACGCGGCATTGAAGTCCGCTTTTGTCCGGTACTTGCGGAGAACCTTCTCGGATTTGAACTTGCTACTGAACTGGGTATCGGAGAAGAACGGCTCTTGTGTCTGGATGTCCAGAGGTTCGGTCTCGAGAGGAAGAACTAGCCTGGGAAAGAATAGCAGAGATTAAAGTCTGGTCGCCGAGCTGATAGAATTTCGTCCAATGAACCCAAGCTACCTATCCTTATCGCTCGCGCGTAATTATATTGCTGTGCGACGCGACGGGCGGCCGCAGTGAGTGTGGATGGGTAGCATGGGGTCATTGGACGAAGTTCTATGTACTCGGCGACCGGACTTTAGTCTGAAAATTTTCTGGTTCCAGCAGATTTTGCTAAATAGACTTAGGCCGAGTTGCACCATCTTATTTTAAGTTTGAGAAACGTCAAAGATCTGTCAAACCCCATACAAAAAGCACCGGTTATTGTTACGGTTAAAATAAGGTGGTGCAACTTAGCCTTATAACCTCAAGAGGGTAGTTAGTTAGCTATAATGTGTGTTAAGAATTATGTAGCAAATACTCTCTGCTTGCACTATTGAGATACAGCCAAAGAAAACATACGCTATAAGCAAGGAACAGAAGATTTATCAGTAATCAAGGGCTGGAAGACGTAGCGTGGGCAGGCATTCTAGGTGGACCGACGACCTGGTAAAGTTCGCGGGAAGAGCCTGGATGCGGGCAGCGCAGGACCGTTAATTGTGGAAAACCTTGGGGGAGGCCTTTGTCTAGCAGTGGACGTCATTTGGCTGAAACGAACGAACGAACGTTCAGTAATTAAATCGGAAAAAGAAAAAGCTGGACTGGCCCACTGGAAGACTCATGGGACATCGGGATGCGATTTTGCAATATGACCCTTATTCCAACTATACAGGTTGTCCCAAAAAGTAGTGTCAAGCCGAAGCCAACCGACCCGAATCATCACGGTTTTGATAGTTTTCGAGTTATGTTTTTTTACAATATACAGTATTTTTAACGTTTTTAGTTTGAATTCACGTTATGGATGTAAATACTTCTAAATCGTCTAGGCCTAGTATTCATCTAATAATAAAAAAAAACAGGTATGTGACTTGACTATTCGCGCCACAGTGACAAAAAATGTGCATCGAAAATTATCAAAAATCGCAGAACATATTATGGGGGTGATTCGGGTAGATTCGGCTTGACACTACTTTTTGGGATAACCTGTATATGGTGCGTGTAGCTTGTTGATATGCTGTCACCTTGTGGCGTGCAGGAACATCCTATGCGGCGCCGTGTCGAGGGTGTCGCTGTATGTGTAGTCGCCGAGGATCGTGTGTCCCGTAGCCGCGCAATGCACTCGGAGTTGGTGGCGACGACCTGGAAATAATCCACTAGGTCAGAGCTCGGTAACATTTTGAGATAGAAGAACCAGAAGTGGCAATTTATGACCTAAATTTTAAATATACTTCCCGCGACTTTTAGATCGCCAGTCCACCAACCAGTAGGAGGCCTGCCTACAAAAGGACATTGGTCGACACTCGAGAACTTATCGGTTTTACGAGTTATGTGCCCCACCCAGGCCCATAGTAAGTGACCTTCGTCTCCATTCCGTACGCCATCGTTAGAATAACTAGTTTACTCTATGGTTATGGTTTTCAACTTACCAGTGATCGACTTAAGCAGTACCACAGTGACCGGGTCCCGCTCGTAGTGCCCGGTCTCTAACGCCAGTAGCCGGGTGTGCGTCGCTAGAGGCGCTGTAAGGAGGTCTACGTTGGTATAATGACGCACTAGTTCAGCTCACCAGTAATAGGCTTGAGCAGTACCACAGTGACCGGGTCCCGCTCGCAGTATCCGGTCTCTAACGCCAACAGCCGGGTGTCCGTCGCTAGAGACGCTGTAAGGAGGTCTACGCCTGGTATAGTGACACTAGTTCAGCTCACCAGTGATCGGCTTGAGCAGGACCACAGTGACCGGGTCCCGCTCGTAGTATCTAGTCTCTAATGCCAGTAGATGTGTCGCTGTGAGGTCTACGCCTGTAATGGTGATGGAAAAGTGTGTCTTCGCCTGGCATTTTACTCCCACTTACCAGTGATCGGCTTGAGCAGCACCACAGTGACCGGGTCCCGCCCTTAGTGCCCGGTCTCTAACGCCAGCAGCCGGGTGAGCTCCAGATTACAGTATCGGTATGGAGGAGAACTAAAGAAGCCCTTCTTGTACTGGAGTAACGTACCAGATGGACTATCGGTATTTAGGACGGCTGCGAAGCTCTATAAATTCCCTTTTATACCAACTCACCAGTGATCGGCTTGAGCAGTACCACAGTGACCGGGTCCCGCTCGTAGTACCCGGTCTCTAACGCCAGGAGATATGTCGCTGTGAGGTCTAGGCCTGTGATGGTGGATGGAAAGGCGTGTCTTCTCCTGGCAGCGATTGATTACTCCCACTCACTCACCAGTAATAGGTTTGAGTAGTACCACAGTGACCGGGTCCTGCTCATAATATCCAGTCTCTAACGCCAGAAGATATGTCGTTGTGAGGTCGACGCCGGTAATGGTGATGGAAAAGTGTGTCTTCGCCTGGCATTTTACTACCACTTACCAGTGATTGGCTTGAGTAGTACCATAGTGATCGGGTTTTGCTCATAGTAACCGGTTTCGTCCGGGAGCAGCCGGGTGTGCTCCAGATTACAGTATCGGAATGGAGGAGAACTACAGAAGCCTTTCTTGTACCGGAGTAGCGTACCAGTATCAAGGAGCCATGCTTAAAATGGACTACCGGTATTTGGGACGGCTGCGAAGCTCTGTAAATTCCCTGTTATACCAACTTACCAGTGATCGGCTTGAGCAGTACCACAGTGACTGGGTCCCGCTCGAAGTAGTTTTAGTACCAATCAATATGTTGCCCAGAAGTGGTGATAGAGCAAGCTATATTGGGACGCGTGTAAGTGCCCTCAAAGAGTAACTAATGCAGGATTAATCCAGCTCATCAGTGATCGGCTTGAGCAGCACCACAGTGACCGGGTCCCGCTCATAATATCCAGTCTCTAACGCCAGAAGATATGTCGCTGTGAGGTCGACGCCGGTAATGGTGATGGAAAAGTGTGTCTTCGCCTGGCATTTTACTCCCACTCACCAGTGATCGGCTTGAGCAGTACCACAGTGACCGGGTCCCGCTCGTAGTACCCGGTCTCTAACGCCAGGAGATATGTCGCTCTGAGGTCAAAGCCTGTGATGGTGGATATAAAGGTGTGTCTTCGCCTGGCAGCGATTGATTACTCCCACTCACCAGTAATAGGTTTGAGCAGTACCACAGTGACTGGGTACCGCTCGTAGTACCCGGTCTCTAACGCCAGGAGATATGTCGCTCTGAGGTCAAAGCCTGTGATGGTGGATATAAAGGTGTGTCTTCGCCTGGCAGCGATTGATTACTCCCACTCACCAGTAATAGGTTTGAGCAGTACCACAGTGACCGGGTCCCGCTCATAATATCCAGTCTCTAACGCCAGGAGATATGTCGCTGTGAGGTCTAAGCCTGTGATGGTGGATATAAAGGTGTGTCTTCGCCTGGCAGCGATTGATTACTCCCACTTACCAGTGATCGGCTTGAGCAGTACCACAGTGACCGGGTCCCGCTCGTAGTACCCGGTCTCTAACGCCAGGAGATATGTCGCTCTGAGGTCTAAGCCTGTAATGGTGATGGAAAAGTGTGTCTTCGCCTGGCATTTTACTCCCATTTACCAGTGATCGGCTTGAGCAGCACCACAGTGACCGGGTCCCGCTCATAGTAACCGGTTTCGACCGCGAGCAGCCGGGTGTGCTCCAGATTACAGTATCGGAATGGAGGAGAACTACAGAAGCCTTTCTTGTACCGGAATAGCGTACCAGTATCAAGGAGCCATGCTAGAAATGGACTACCGGTATTTGGGACGGCTGCGAAGCTCTGTAAATTCCCTGGTATACCAACTTACCAGTGATAGGTTTGAGCAGTACCACAGTGACTGAGTCCCGCTCGAAGTAGTTTTAGTACCAATCAATATGTTGCCCAAAAGTGGTGATAGAGCAAGCTATATTGGGACGCGTGTAAGTGCCCTCAAAGAGTAACTAATGAAGGATTAATCCAGCTCACCAGTAATAGGTTTGAGTAGTACCGCAGTGACCGGGTCCCGCTCGTAGTACCCGGTTTCTAACGCCAGCAGCCGGGTGTGCGTCGCTAGAGGCGCTGTAAGGAGGTCTACGCCTGGTATAGTGACACTAGTTCGGCTCACCAGTGATCGGCTTGAGCAGTACCACAGTGACCGGGTCCCGCTCGTAGTGCCCGGTCTCTAACGCGGGTCTCCGCCGCTACAGACGCTGTAAGGAGATCTACGCCTGGTATAGTGACACTAGTTCAGCTCACCAGTGATAGGTTTGAGCAGTACCACAGTGACCGGGTCCCGCTCGTAGTGCCCGGTCTCTAATGCCAGCAGCCGGGTCTCCGTCGCACTAGAAACGCTGTAAGGAGGTCTACGCCTGGTATAGTGACACTAGTCCAACTCACCAGTGATCGGCTTGAGCAGTACCACAGTGACCGGGTCCCGCTCATAGTACCCGGTCTCTAACGCCAGCAGCCGCGTGTGCGCCGCGCGGGTCTCCGCTGCATTGGACGCGCTGCTCGTCTTGGCTACCATCCTGTGGCTGGACGTCGCTGTGAGGGGGTCCACGCCTGGGAATGATGTAGATGATGTAGATGTAGATTTTGAAGAGGCTGCTATGAACATTTAATTTTAGCAGGTAAGGCTTCTTATACACGAGCGGCTCGTCGACAAGTGGCGTTAGCTGCAGTTGTAGCTGTCTCTTTGTACAGGATGCGACAACTACAAGCTACAAATGCAGCTAACGCCACCTGTCGGCGTCAGTCGTCGACGTGGGGACGTAGACAAAAGGTGGCGACAGCTGCCGTTGCCACTGCCGTCGGCTATGAGCCACACGTGTATTAGAACACTAACGGCAGAGCAGTAAAAGATCACCCTCACTCTTCCCGTAGATATCGTAAGAGGCGACTAAGGGAACAGAGGCCCCCCTAAACCCGTCTGGGCAACGTATGGACTAATGAATACGGACCAGCCCCTGTTAAATTATTGAGGGTCATCCTCGCCATTCATTCAAACTCACATATTTCCCTACTATTTTAAATGCGACAGGTTTGTACAAAACGTTACATTTCTCACGCAAAATCTACTGAACAGATTTGATGACACTTTTCAGTATTATTTTTAAACGGAATTTCATCTGAGCAGTCGTAGTTTTTTTTTTCATCATCATCATCATCATCATTTCAGCCATAGGACGTCCACTGCTGAACATAGACCTCCCCCAATGCTTTCCATGTTGATCGATTGGTAACGGCCTGCGTCCAGCGCCTTCCCGCTACCTTTACCAGGTCGTCGGTCCACCTTGTGGGTGGACGTCCCACGTCGCGCTTTCCGGTACGCGGCCTCCATTCCAGAACCTTACTGCCCCATCGGCCGTCAGTTCTGCGTACTATGTGCCCTGCCCACTGCCACTTCAGCTTGCTGATCCGTCGGGCTATGTCAGCGACTTTAGTTCGTTTACGGATCAACACCAACCAATCAATTGACGTACCTACTTCTTAAAACTGTCAAAACGAAACTCTCCCATAGATTTTGTATGGCACTACAAGCAAGTGACGTCACTATTTTGTCAACTCAATTAAACTACTTTTTTCAATTACAATGCGACCAAAAATCGTAATTTACAGGTAATTTAAAATGAATTAAGTTTTTAAGACCAGAATTAAGTGTCTTTTTAGAAAAGTTGTGATTTCGAATTACTTATTGGGGAATTGTGTCAAATTGTCTATGATTGATTATTCGGATTTTAAGAGGCAGCGAAGAAAACCTAGCTTTTGTAGTTCCGAAAAAGTAGAATAAGAGTAGGACCACCCTCACTCTTCCCGTGGTTGTTGCAAGAGCCGACTAAGGCCCGGTTTTTTGATTCGTAGTTAAAATAACCAATAGGGATAAAAATAAGGAAGACAAGCCCCCCCTTTTTTTGTAAGAAAATGCATAGAACTACATACCCTCTCGCCGCTTTGATGGCGATTGGTTATGTGGGCCTACCCACTAAAATAATCACGAATGTCCATCTCTCTTACCCATCTGGCCAACTTAAAATTTATTTAAAACTAGCTTTCCGCCCGCGGCTTCGCCCGCGTGGAATTTTGTCTGTCACAGAAAAACTTTATCTCGCGCGTCCCTGTTTCAAAAACCGGGATAAAAACTATCCTATGTTCTTTCCCGGGACTCAAACTATCTCTATGCCAAATATCATCAAAATCGGTTGCGAGGTTTAAGCGGGAAAGCGTAACAGACAGACAGACAGACAGACAGAGTTACTTTCGCATTTATAATATTAGTTGGGATGCCACAGGTTTGTGAATTGTGAGGATAGATGTTTGTTACTCTTTTACGCTTACTTCTGAAAGGATTTTGTTTAAAACATTACCTATTCTGTGTCACACGGGCGAAGCCGCGAGCAAAAGCTACCAGAGTAAATATAAATGAGTAGGTTATCTTCATAGAAACGCACCGGGCGCGGTTTGTATGTGGGTATATTTTGTCAATGTGTGCGTGCGCGCCGCATACGTATTGGCGCGCTCACATAGAAACCGCGCTCGGTGCGTTTCTATGATGATGACCTACTCATTTGTCTTTACTCTGAAGCCACTTTATAATATTAGCAGGAAATACATTTATTTCTTTCTATTCACCACTCACCAACATCAAACTCGATGTCCGCCACGTCGTACTTCAAATGCCCGCGGACGACGGCCAGGTAGTACTTCCTGGTCTGCCGCCGCTCGAACAGCCGCCCGGCGCGCCCTGCGGCACTCTTGGTCTTGGCTATGCACATCACGCCGCTGGAAACAGGTGGATTTCAGGGATGTTATGGATATGGTTACGGATATTAGAATAATATTATACCGGTTTCGGTTACGGATAGTAATCATTTCGGATTATCCGAAAGTTTCGGATAATTTTGGTTACGGATAGTTTTAAAAAGGTAAAATTCAAATTGCAAGATGCTGCGCGACCCACATAGCCACTTTATGTACTATGACGGTGCCTATGATAAAGGTAAAACAGGCGGGTATATCAGAATTGTGCCAGGGGATGCCAGACAAGTAACAAACATTAAAAATTTTCAGAGTTAGACTCCGCCTTTATCCGAAACTTTTGAATCGGTTACGGATATTTTTTTATTTCGGATATCCGATAGTTTCGGTTACGGTTACGGATATCCATAACATCCCTGGCTGTATTTCGTATTAAAACTAGACTTAGTTAGCCGCAAGTTTGGTCGGCTTCCAATTTGTATGAGGAGTCAGCCGATAGCAAATAAAATGTCTGTAGTCTGCCGGGTGTCTTAGGGCCTCCGCTACTTAGAGCGGAGCGGAATTGATCTCGTACGTCTTAAAAAATGTTGAGGTTTACCTTGTTGAGTAATCCAGTCGCTGTACAAAATGCAGAGGGTTCGCTGAGGTTGACAAATGGGAATCTGGAGATGCAATATGTTGGGTCACCGTATTCTGTAAAAGAACGAAAGAAAGAAGTTATGCATTTGTTATGAACAAAAAAATATCGATACACCAATCAATATTTTATCGACCATTACCCCATCACTAGTGTTTTGTTTGGGTACAAAAACATAACCTCAAAGATGGATTAATTATATTTTTTTTCATGAAACTGAACTACGCACCTTCTCATTCTCATCATCGGAGTTGATATACATATCAAACGGTTTGTTAACCACAAGAAAACTATCACTTTCATACAGTTTTTCTACACCCATTTTTGTTTTGTTAAAATCTGGCTTAATGTTGTGTTCGTCTTTTAGTAATTTCGAAAGTCTAAAAACGCTTTAATTTCATTTTAATTTAAATTTAAAACACGATAATTTTGAGCCAAAATATCAATTGCAATTTCAAAACATTTCCAAATGTCAAATTATTGTCATTATGTAAAAAAGTTTGCCTGTTTCCAATACACGTTTCGTTACTGCACTGCCAGAAGTGAAAATAAAATACGTGAACGCATTCATTTATCTGTCAGTAATGTCATTAATGACACTCATTATGCGACCAATTTATGATGGTAACGTTTTTCAACACGTTTAGCCGAAATCTATACTTTTTTGATTTAGTAGGTTATCAAAAAACAAACTTGCAGGCTTGTGATAATATATTGTAATTTATTTGTGAAATTAAGCAAAATGAAGCGATTTAAAAGGCATAAAGTAAAAGAAGAGAAGCCGGAGGCTTCCACGTCGTTTAGCCGGCGCGTAGACGAGTACGATTTAACTTATTACATCCACGACAGAGTGGAGCTGATGCACCAAGTGTTTTCCATTCTGAAACACAAGGATCTGAAGACGATGGCTCCGGAGTGCGTGCGGAATATCTCTAAAGACAATTTGCAAGAGCTCTGCACCGAAGAGGTACGTCTAAAACCTTTTTCTAGTCTATAAAATAGGATCTTAATACTACATTGGTAACAAGGGTTATCTAAATTGCAATTTGACTTTTTCTTGTTAAATACTAGTCTCTCGCGACTCTTTGAGAGTTCAGACCCATTTGTAGTTCATATCAACCTCATATTATTGCAGTTATCAGTTCTTTTTACATAGATAAATATGAATGTTTAAAAAAAATGGTTGTGATTGGTCAATAAGTAATTTTGATTTTCAGCTCCTAGGTATAAGTTCAAAGCGCCTTTGTGCGATCCTGGACGGGGCTGAGCCACCGTCTGATACAGAGTCGTCGAGCGAGTCTCCGGAGCGCTTGGAGACGATATCTTTGGACAGCATATCATCGGATGATGGGATACTAAGTGAATCGAGCAAAAAGAGTAAAAAGGTATGTTGACTTTTTCTTGTATGTTTTATTAAGTAGCATTACAGTATTACATTATGTCATTTTTATCTAGACACACGGTAGGGTATCAAGCCAAGTTCAAGTAACAGAATGGTAATAATAACACTACACAAAACACTTATTTGACAAAGACCTCCAACTGCTGCTATTTCTCTCTACTATTGGCTATTCTTCTGTACTACGTGCTATGGCTTTGATGTCGTCAATCCACCATCTAAATGATCTGGACAGAGAAAGTCAAGCTATGCGAACAGCTAGGGACTGGAATTCTCCTGTTGCTGTCTTTCCTGAGCACTATAATCCGGGCCTTCTAAAGGCGAGAGTAAATAGGCACTTACAGGGCAGATATGTACCATCCTAGACTGCATCTCACTTAACACCAGGTGCGATTGCGGTCATATGCCTGCCTTGTATTGCATAAAAAAAAGTCTAAAAGTGGAATGATGACAAACATTACCCAGTAATTATTAAAATTTATAAATTAATTTTCCCAGCACAAACGCCACCGCCGCGACTCCAAAACCAAGCCCAAGAAGAAGAAGTCCAAAGACAATCCCGAGCCAGCGAACACAGCAGACGCTGACAAGTCGCGGGCGTCACGCGCCGGGCTCACGGTGCTCGAGCTATTGGAGCTACAGGCGCGAGCTAGAGCTATTAGAGCTCAGCTACAGCAGGAGCAGGCAGCGAGTAAGTAGCTCAGTTGATAGCTCGTGAACTAGTTCATATTTTGGAGCTGATGGAGCTACAGGCGCGAGTTAAAGAAGCTATAAGAGCTCAGCTGCAGCAGGAACAGGCAGCCAGTAAGTAGCTCGTGAACTAGTTCACATTTTTGCGACATCAAAAATCAAAATCAAAAATATTTATTCAGTTTAGACCACAAGTGGCACTTATGACTAGGTATATGCCACATCCAATACAAGAGCTACCTATTAAGCTACAGGCGCGAGAGGGAACCAACTCAGTAACTCAGTTGATAGCTCTTCAGTTAGTTACTTAAGACGCGGGCGTCGCGCGCCGGGCTCACTGTGCTCGAGTTATTGGAGCTACAGGCGCGAGCTAGAGCTATTAGAGCTCAGCTGCAGCAGGAGCAGGCAGCCAGTAAGTAGCTCGTGAACTAGTTCAAATTTTGGAGCTACAAGCGCGACCTAGAGCTATACGAGCTCAGCTACAGAAAGAACAGGCAGCCAGTAAGCAGCTCAGTTGATAGCTTGTGAACTAGTTCACACTTCACATTTTTGTAAAACATCCAATGCAAGAGCTACCTATAGGCGAGCTACAGAGGAAACCAGCAGCTAGTAAGTAGCTCAGTCGATAATTCGTGAGCTAGTAATAAAAGTCGCGCGCCGGGCTCACTGTGCAGGCGCGAGCTAGAGCTATACGAGCTCAGCTGCAGCAGGAACAGGCAGCGAGTAAATAACTCAGTTGATAGTTCTTGGACTAGCTCACATTTTTCAGCTGATAGTGCTACAGGTCCGAGCTAGAGCTATACAAGCTCAGTTACAGCAAGAATAAGCAGTAAGTAAGTAGCTCAGATAGTTCTTGAGCTAGTTCAAATTTTAGAGCTGTTGGAGCTACAGACGCGAGCTAGAGCTATACGAGCTCAGCTGCAGCAGGAACAGGCAGCGAGGAAGTAGCTCAGATAGTTCTTGAGCTAGTTCAAATTTTAGAGCTGTTGGAGCTACAGACGCGAGCTAGAGCTATACAAGCTCAGTTACAGCAAGAATAAGCAGTGAGTAAGTAGCTCAGTTGATAGTTCTTGAGCTAGTTCAAATTTTAGAGCTGTTGGAGCTACAGACGCGAGCTAGAGCTATAAGAGCTCAGCTGCAGCAGGAACAGGCAGCGAGGAAGTAGCACAGTTGATAGCTCGTGAGTTAGTTCACAGTTTTGTGAGAGCAAAAAAGCAAGAACTTGCTTGGGCTACATGCGCTCAGTTTCAGCAGCTTTTAACGAGTACTGTTTATCTCCATGCTTAGTCGAAAAAGCCATTAATCTTCTTTTCGTGTCAACAACAAACCTGAACAGTGTCAGCCCAAAACTCCGCCACAAGAGTGGCACTGTCAGCAGCATTCATCAAATCCTCCTGAGTGCAGTTGCTCGGGCACTCAGGGCACGACATCAGGTGCTTCATCGCATTAATTAAAATTTATGATTTTCGTTTTTTTTTAATAATGATATTTCCTTGTTTCATGTACTCCAGAGCAAGCACTGGAGCCGACGACCGCCAGCGACCACTCGTCAGACAACGAGGTGGAGATCAAGGAGGAGGCAGCTGAGGTCGTGGAGATCAGCAGCGAGGATGAAAAGCCCGACGTGGAACAGCTGAAAGGTGAGCACAAGAGCTAAGACCATCAGCTAGTAACTCAGTTGTTAACTCGTGAACTAGTTCATGTTAATGTGACACCCAATGCAAGAGCTATCTAAGCTACGCCGCGAGCTACAGAGGAAACCAGCAGCTAATAAGTAACTCAGTTGATAGCTCGTGAACTAGTTCACGTTTATGTGACACCCAATGCAAGAGCTACCTAAGCTACGGCGCGAGCTACAGAGGAAACCAGCAGCTAGTAAGTAACTCAGTTGATAGCTCGTGATTCGTGAACTAGTTCATGTTTATGTGACACCCAATGCAAGAGCTACCTAAGCTACGGCGCGAGCTACAGAGGAAACCAGCAGCTAGTAAGTAACTCATGCCCTTATTCACAAACATTATTATGAGGTCTCACAGTGCGCGTGGACGTACCGGGTAATATACGATATTAGCTCTATTCAAAGCTGTGCGTTCGATTTGCTGCTTCATTTGTGAATACGGGCGTCAGTTGATAATAGAGCTCTGTGATTGGTTCGTATGTCACCCTGTGCGTCCACGCGCACTGTGAGACCTCATAGTAATGTTTGTGAATACGGGCGTTAGTCGCGGCTGTCACGTGCCGCACTCACAGTGTCACTCGTCAGACAACGAGGTGGAGATCAAGGAGGAGGCCGCTGAAGTTGTGGAGATCAGCAGCGAGGATGAAAAGCCCGACGTGGAACAGCTGAAAGGTGAGCACAAGAGCTAAGACCATCAGCTAGTAACTCAGTTGTTAACTCGTGAACTAGTTCATGTTTATGCGACACCCATTTCAAGAGCTACCTAAGCTACGGCGCGAGCTACAGAGGAAATCAGCAGCTAGTAAGTAACTCAGTTGATAGCTCTTCAGTTAGTAATCTAACGTCCGTATTCACAAACGACGCTTGCTTAAGTGAAGCAGAAAATCGAACGCACAGCCAGGCCTGGCTCACTCCGCGCGGTACATCCGATAATTACCTACAGCGAAGCGCCCCGCCGGCGGGTATTATATCAGTCGAGTGTCACGCGCGCGCCCGTCAGGACGCTGGCGTGAGTTGTAGTACCTAATTCTATGATCGAAGTATTATTTAAAAATGGACATAAAGGGAAAGAAATATTATTGTGCGGCGTTCGGGTGTTTCAATTCGAAAATAAATCTACCGGATTTATCTTTTTTTTCGCTTCCCAAAGATGCTGAAAGGTATGTTGGCCATGTAGGTAATCAATAATTTTTAGGATAGTATAGGAACCTAACCTACCATGACTACTGCTCAGAATGCGTTCGTTCGTTACAGCCAAAAATGACGTCCACTGCTGGACAAAGGCCTCTCCCAAGATTTTCCATAATCAATGCGTACTTACCTACATACGTACCTCATTACAAATAAGTAGATTATAGCCTGACCAGGAACATAAAAACCCTCGCCATGTTGCGGAAAACTAATGGTACTAATTTCTTTTAATGGCAACAGTAACTGAAAACTTCATTGACATGTCACCTTGCATGTCAGTCTATTGCTGTCAAAGTGTAAACAAACTTTATTTTAAATGTGCGCAATTGGTTTTATGAATTAAATTGCTAAAATATTTTTATAGTCGTGAAAGAAAAGTGGTTCACAATGTGTTAAAGTATTTGTCGAAGAGAAATACTAAGGGTTCGGACAATATTTTCATTGAATAATGTTTCCGACAAAGGTTGTCAAATTGACTGACATGTTTATCGTATAGTACAGTCCACTATGAAAATTAGCTGTGGTTTGTTTCAACTACCTATTTTAAAAATTTTGTCACTTTCTAAGTGTTGAATTTTATGGGATTGGGAAAGAAGTACCGAGTTTGAAGCGTTCATGAGCAGACATTGCAGTTGAATATTCAAGTTCTGAATTTGATTATTGATGAATAATAAATTAAATCTACTAGCTCGATTGATGGTTTCATTTAATTTATTTAAATCAGGTTACCTATAATAATATTTTTTCATTAATTTATGAAAATATCAAATTAGCCCGTAATCCTGAATCCTGATACATAAAGTTAGCCTATTAATTTAACACAGGTACGACTGTACTCAGTGTTGCACTATCAAATGCAATTGAAGCGCCTCTATGCCAGGGTTTTTATGTTCCTGGTCAGGCTATAATTATTATTTTACTAGACACTACTAGACAGCAACCCTAACAGCGTTAGAAGAGTTCAGAGGCACGCGATAGAAAGAGACAAAACTTGTAGGTGAATAAAATTGTAGGCTTAGTGCTGTGCGAGCTGAATTCCACTGTATCGCGTCGTAGCAAGACTCGCATTTATTTAAATCGTCTTGCGGAGTAATCCTTCTGTACCTGTACTATTACTTATTCTGTGGCACAGCGTTGAATAGAGCTCTGTGATTGGATCGTGTGTCACCCTGTGCGTCCACGCGCACTGTGAGACCTCATAGTAATGTTAGTGAATACGGGCGTTAGTCGCGGGTGTCACGTGCCGCACTCACAGTGTCACTCGTCAGACAACGAGGTGGAGATCAAGGAGGAGGCCGCTGAAGTTGTGGAGATCAGCAGCGAGGATGAAAAGCCAGACGTGGAACAGCTGAAAGGTGAGCACAGCACAGGACGAAAGAATGGTCCGGTCCCCCTCCCCTCAGAATAGTCTGCCCCCCCCCCAATGGTATGCCCCCCAGAATGGTCTGATCCCCCCTCAGAATGATCTGGTCCCCCCTCAGAATGATCTGGTCCCCCCTCAGAATGATCTGGTCCCCCCCAGAGTGGGAGGCCTTTGTCCAGGCAGTGGATGTCATTTGGCTGAAACAAATGAATCGGAGGGGAGACTTAGCTCCTTTGCTGTCGTCTACTTTGCAATGGAGGGTTTGGAATTTGGATTCTTTTGATTAAAATCGTTATGGGTCCAACCAATGACAGTTTAACCTTCCCCCGGGACAAACTTGACCTTCACTGGTTGGTTTATTGGCGGATAAGCTGTGGCTACACAGGAGTTGCAGCGGTGGAATAGTCCCGTATCTTCTATTTATAAGTTTTCTGTTTCTCGAGCAAAAGCTGGTAGATCATTGTGAATTGACATTATTCTTATCACAAAAACCTTTACCATTCCAGAGAAAGCCACGCCAAAGCCTACAGAGCCCGAATCGCCATCGGAGGATACTCAGAACACGACTTCGGTCACCAAGCGGATCAACGACCTCATCATCACGGTCCCGCAAGTCAAAACCACCAGGAAAATAAAACTGAACCGAAGCAAAATCGTTGTCTGCGTCCCCAACTCTGAAAGTAACGAAAAAGATCAAAATAGTAACAATGAAAGCAACAAACCTAAAGAGGATTCAACTCCAGCTACAAGCACAGAAGTTATAGAGAAACGTAAAGAAAAACAAGTAAATGTCAAAGAAGTAAGCAAAAAGAGCAAAGAGAAAGAAGCTAAGACGAAAGAGAAAAAGAAAAAAGATAAGAAAAACAAAAATAAAAACCAAGACAGTGATCATGATGAGATTACGCTGCAGTTGTCGGATTCGGAGAAAATGGATCTGCTAGAAGACCTAGATAGAAAGAACTTTGATAAGTTGTCTAGTTCTGAATCGGAGGACTCGGAAAGCAGTTCGGAGAGCGAGTCCGAAGCAAGCGAGGCGTCTAAAAGCAGTCCAGAGAAAGACAAAAGCAAAAACAATACTGCCAAAGAGAAACCCGAAGTACCGGTTTCAAAAAGTGCAAGCAAAGATTCTTTAGTTGAAATTCAAGATAAAAATACTGTGAAACCAGTTGATGAAGAAACTTCTTCCCTTAAAATTCAAGAAGAAAGTATCATAAATATAGATACTGAGAGTCAAGACACGATATCAGATGATAAAATGTTAGAAACTGTTAAACCAACTGAAGAGGCTTTGGGCACAAATGAAAGTAATTTGGACATAGCTTCGATCGACGATATTCCTGTTATAACACATGAGAATGACGAGTCCCAAAGCAGTGCTGTTTTAGTCGCAGAATCTGATTCGAGGTCTACTGATCTGTCCAAACCCGATACGATTACTAAAGCAGATGCAAGTAATACGGAAAAGGGTAATGATGAAGATACTCAAACTAGACAAGTGACTTCAGAGTTGAATGCTCATGGAAAAACTTTGAAAATTACAGTTGAAGTCACTACGCCGGTTACTAGTGATAGTCCTTCAAAAGAAAATACACAAGATAATAATGAGAATGATGATAATGAAACAACTAAGAAAGAAGGTGAGAAATTGTCGGAAGGAGAACTCTCAGACAAAGACAGTACTGACATAGAAGCAGTGGAACTAAAACCAGAAGTAGTTTGCATATCTGACGACGAGATTGACAAGGTAGCCGTAAAAAAGAAGAAAAAGAAAGAAAAAAAAGCTAAAAGCAAAAAATCTAAGAAATCCAAGCAGGATTTTCGGGAAAGCGGTGATCAAAACTTTTACACTGAAGAAAAAGAGGAAGAAACACAAGTAAAGACAAACGAAGTGATTAAAGTCGATGAAGATGACGTCAGCAAAGAAAAGAACGAAGTAGAACAAGTAGAAATGAACGAAGTAATAAAAATAGAAGAAGATGAAGTAAAAATATCTTTAGAAGATGATGATTATGATGACGTGTGCGAAATAATGGAATTATCAGACGATTCGTCGTGCTACGAAGTTGAAGGCACTGTGTTGTCAAAAGAACCGACTGCAGAAGAGATTGAGGCGCTTTCTGCTAGAATAGATGAAATAGAAAGAGAGGATGTAGTGACAGAAGAAGAAATAAGACAACATGAGAAGCGTATCGCGGAAGAAGAGAGTATTAAAGAACTAGAAAACGTGTCGTGGAAAGATAGGTATTTGGACAGCAATAAAGTCAAGAAAGTGCTCAGTACTTCCAGCATTTTTAACGCGATGAGGAAGAAAAATAGAGATTTGAAAAAGAAGTTGCTAGAAAGTAAGAAGAAAGAAGCGGAGATTCAAGAAGTGAAAGAAAAAGAAATTGTTGAAAAGGCTCTGCCGCCAGTAGAAGGCTCAATAGAACATTATAACATGCTAGAAGGCTCAACTAAATACGTGGATCCGGTTCCAGAAATAGTAGAAAAGATCGATAAAGATGCAGCTTCAGAAATAGTTGAAAAAGACGATGCAGAAACTCAAAATGGCGGTGAAGAAAACGCGAAAGATTCACAAAATAGTGAAGAAATTCAAAAGAAAAGTGACGAAATTGAAGAAGATACGAATGGAGTCGACAAAAACACAGAAGAACAGTCTTCAATGGCGAAAGAACTTACGAAAGACGCTAAACAACTGCTCAAAATGTATAAGAGGCTGTTGAAATACAATGACATGTACAAACAAAACGCGCAGAAAGACCCAAATAAAAAGAAGAGGAAGAAAACTAAGAAGAAAAACAAAGATGATGGGAACGCGGTTACTACTATTTAGTATTCTAGATTTTAAGTGATGTTAGAAATAAATAAATAAATAGGTTTATTTATGATAAAAAATAGTAATCGAAATAAATCTGCATTTATTAAAAATGCAGATTTATTTCGATTACTATTTTTTTTTCATCAATTCCATAAGAAAACCTTTAGGAAGTATTGTATAAAATCAGAAATCTTCAAGAAAATATTTCTATAAAATAATACTGCTTTTCACTAATATTATAAAGAAACTAGCGACCCGCCCCTACTTCGCACAGGTACAATGGATTATACTTACAGAAACCTTGCTTCCTCCTATTAAAAAAAACCGCATCTAAATCCGCTGCGTAATTTTCAAGATACTTGAAGCATACATAGGGACAGACAACGGAAAGCGACTTTGTTCTAAACTATGTAATGATAATAATTTGAAAGTTCGTAAGAATGGAATGGATGTTTAGTTACTCTTTAATGCAAAAACGACTGAACGAATTTTGATGAAACCATGCAACCAACCATTTCGTGTTTATAAATCCGAATAACAGGGTAAAATGGATAACGAAATTGAGTTCACCTGTTGTAATTTCACGCGGGAAAAGCTAGTAAAAGTATAAACCTCCTTCTGGCGCAATCGGGTAAAAAAAAGTGTCGGTGTCGAGACCTTCGGACCTTGGGGACCGAATGCTAAATTATTGTTTCGGACCATTTCCCCTAAATTAATTAAAATTTCGGAAAATCTAAATAAATGCTGGCTCTTTCCTTGCACAAAGGCTTAGTATTGCCATTCAGCGAGGAAATGCTGCCAGCATCCTCGCCTCTTTGCCTCACGGACACATTTTCATTTTTGAGTAAAATAAGTTTATGTTTTTATTTTGTTTAGAGTTAAGTTTGCCTTAGTTTAAAAAAAAATCTGTTTATTGAAAAAAAGTTGTTTCATTTTCAGTTCGGCCAACGAACGCGATTCCAGGCCAGGATGGATTTAAAAAATGTAACCTTTAAAAAAATAAAAATGTCGCTGTCAAACTCAAATTTGACAAAATGACGCTTTGTTGGGAATTTGTGTGAAAACATTTAAAAATCAATAAATATATTGAAAATAAATGTTTCTTGAGTGAAATATTGGTTGTGTTTAAAAGCCTAAAGCTGTAAAAACTCATAATGGATGACTTGTGCACTGCATGCCTGTGTACGGGCCGAAACTTGTACTTTATTGGTGAAACGGGATCGTATCACTTGTATTCTCAAATTTTAAATGAAATCCCTGTAAGTATACTATTTTTCTTATCACAAAATGTACTTGGAACAGTAAGGATCCGACATCACTCAGTGTTTTTGATTTAGAATTGAATTACGAGCAAAATCGTGATAATGAATATTTCTACCAATTAAATTCAAATAGTACCTTCGATATTTAGTAGAAAATGAAAATGCTAATGCTACCAACTGTGCGATGTGGAAGTCATTGGGAGAGGCCTATGTTCAGCAGTGAGCGTCTGTGACTGAAATGATGATGAACCCGTCGAAAATTTTCAAGTGTAATACGCTGTTACGGCCAGCGATTGTTTCATCAATATTGGGTAGCACTATCCTTCAATATTGCATGCCGTGGCAACCTATAATTAAGGCAGCACTTAGATTAAGTTAAATACGTTGTAAATATTGATTGTCTTCCAGTGTATGTCTTGTTGGTTGTCCTATTAAATAAATAAATAAACATTTGATTCTTGCCTTTCAACACACGATATCCGCAGGTGTACGACTTCTCATCGGTCTGTGTTCGAGTCTGCTGGGAATGCCGAGCGCTGCTCCGTCGCTTCGGGGAGTTCAAGGCGCTCGTCAAGCGCTCCTACTCCGAACTGCTGCAGCAGTGCCACCAGGTATCTCCACTGAGTGTATTGTACACAGTTATCTTCGCTATAGGATTGTTATTTGGCTCGCCTACGCACACACCACGACCTGCCCCCACCGCTGACTGGGCTGTGACGTATGCGCTCGAGACAAATTTTATCTACAGTACCCACTGAGAAGGGTCCAAAATTGGCGGAACAGTGTGCCTTCAGTGGCGAAAAAAATCGCAAGTCCAAAAGAAGAAGAAAAGGGTCCTATTCCACTTTGAGTCATAGAAATTAAAATTCATCATTTCAATTTCTGGCCGGTCGGGTATCGAAACCGGGACCTCTTCTCATAGTAGTCCGTTCTGAACCACTACACCAAACGGCCGACAAATTATTCGGCCGTTTGGTGCAGTGGTTCGAAACTGACTACTATTCCGGAGGTTGCGGGTTCGATTCCTGCACAGTACAAACATTTGTGTGCATGAACATGTTTGTTTGTATTGGACTGGGTGTTTTCAGGTGTTTTCTATGTATAATAAGTATGTATTTACAAAAAAAAGTATTTAAGTATGTTTATATCCGTTGTCTAGTACCCATAGTACAAGCTTTGCTTAGTTTGGGACTAAAGCTTGGTTCGTGAGCACGTAGAATTTTGTCCAATGACCCCAAGCTACCCATCCTTATTGCTCGCGCGTAATTATATTGCTGTCGCGACTGTGCGACGGGCGCCCGCAGTGAGTGTGCGAGCGCGACAGCAACATAATTACGGTCATTGGACAAAATTCTACGTGCTCACGGATCAGGCTTTAGAAGCGCAGTGATAAAGTGTCCAAGGATATTTATTTATTTATTTTATAACGTCATGACCCCCCCCCCCCCTTTCAGAACGACCCCCCCTCCCGCCTGTCGCTGGCGCGTGCGCCGCGTCTGCAGACGGCCGCGGGCGTCGCGTTCGGCTGGCCCGACGAGACGCACGTTAAAGAGGAGCACGACGAGCTGGTGATTTACGAGGTGGGTTGATGCTGTACTTATGTCGCTTAATTCACTTAGTGTACTTGTCATTTAATTCACTTAGTATACTTATGTCACTTAATACTTATGCCACTTATTTTACTTAGTATACTTACTTCACTTATTATACTTTCTGCAGACTACACACTATACTTACTACACTTATTTTACTTACTTCGCTTATTACACACAGAAGCACAGCGCCCCTAGCGGATACTTTCAAGAACTAAAATCTTCATAGACATTTTTGACGCACTCGATATCGAATACATTTGATTTATATTTATGCTAGCTTTCCGCCCGCGGCTTCGCCCGCGTGGAAATTTGTCTGTCACAGAAAAACTTTATTGCGCGCTTACCTGTTTCAAAAACTGGGATAAAAACTATCGTATGTCCTTTCCCGGGACTCAAACTATCTCTATTTCATCAAAATCGGTTCAGTAGTTTAGGCGTGAAAGCAAGACAGACAGACAGAGTTACTTTCGCATTTATAATATTAGTATAGATGTTAGGTACCAAATATGACAATCATCAATTTTTTTTTCTGACGATGTCCAAAACCGTCCAAACCAATCTTCTTTTATATTGTTAACTTTATTTTGTACTCTTTTTAGAACGGAGATGAAGTGAAGCCTCTAAAGGAAGAGGAGATACATGAAGCCCCGCACAGCGAGCCTGAAGTCCAGGCATACAACGTGCACGTAGAAGATGATGAGGACAATAATACTAAGAAGAAGAAGACCACTAAAAAGGTTGGGAATTAATCATTTATTTAGCTCAGTGGTTCTTAACCTTTAAGTCACGAGAGACCATTTTACCAAATTTCTATCTTGTCAGGGACCACTTTTTTTTTCTAAATCTTTTAAAAGGGGAGGTCGATTTCTCGCCCACTGTGCGCCATTTGCGTTGTGTTTACTCGACTCATCACGTCACGTCACTTGTTTATTACGACGTCTTCGCGGACCACTTGGAATGCCTCCAGGGACCACCAGTGGTCCACGGACCACCGGTTAAGAACCACTGATTTAGCTGAACGCATGCTTACAGCAAAAAACTAGAACGCATACAAGTTAGGTCACGCAACAAATTAGTTGAGGCCATCAACATTTGTAAGTATCTGTAAGACTCCCCACAAACTACAAACTTTTAGGGCCTTGTCACACTGGCGGATTACGGGATTATTCCCACGTCTCGATCCCACCGCTGCAACTCCTGTGTAGCCAGGATCTACAGCTTGACCGCCAATAACCCAACCAGTGAAGGCCAAGTTTGTCCCGGGGGAAAGTTAAACTGTCATTGGACTCGCAACGAAATTAATCAGAAGAACGTAGAAGGAGTTCGAAGTTACGTTACTGAGTTCACTAAAAAGGTAAGAAGTTGAAAAGAAAGTCGCAAAACAGAGTAAACTCTGTTTGTAAAAGAGGAGGAGATACATAAAGCTCCACAGCAAGCTAAAAGTCCAGGCTTACAACGTGCACGTGGAAAATGATGAAGACCAGAACACAGGGAAAAAGAAGACCACCAAAAAGGTAGGATGTTTCAAAGAAATTCCAAAGAGAGTAACGCCCGTATTCACAAACATTACTATGAGGTCTCACAGTGCGCGTGGACGCATAGGGTAACACACAAACCAATCATAGCTCTATTCAACGCTGTGCGTTCGATTTGCTGCTTCACATAAGCAAGCATCGTTTGTGAATACGGTATTAAACTTTGTTAGTAAAAGAGATACAGGACGCGCCGCCGATGCAAGTCTTGTTTATATTTATGCCACTTATTTCACTTAGTATACTTATGTCACTTATAACACTTAATATAAAAAGTGTAAAAGTGCTTTCGAAATCTTATTTGCAGAAAGTAAATGACATCGACTATACTTTAACCACTAAAAAGGTACATAGTTGTTGCAATTCACGAAGGCGAGTGAGCTTTACATGTGTGGTGGCTCACTATTGTTCGTTTTTGCAAAATTTTGGAGTGATAAAGATACTTTGAGAGACATAACGATGTATGTGCATGTACATGTACACACACAAGTAATAATCTCAATATCTCTGTTCTGCTCAAGGTCAGCTGGTAGAGAATGACTTATGGCATTAAGCTCGCCTTTTTGTACGGAACATTATTATGTGTGTGCAATAAAGTCTTTAAATAAATAAATAAATAAAGCTCACTCGCCTTTGTGCGTTACAAGAACTATTATATATAGGATGTTCTAAGAAATCTCAATCGGGGGAGAACACACAAAAATAACAGTATTTTGCCTACAGCCAACAAATGAACCAATTTTATTTCCTCTTATATTTCAGACTGCAAAAGAGAAGAAGAAAAAGGTGAAATCGAAGAAAAAACTAAAAGCAAAAAAGGTGAACAGCAAGAAAAAGACAGAAGAAGTTCGCTCCGAGACCCCTGAGGACTTGGAGCTTAACGTACACGATGACATCAGCGACGGAGGAGTTGGTGAGTCACACAGATCATAGAAACTAAAGGTAGATGTGAAAAGAGGGCGTGAAATTTAAATTTTGGGGAAGCTTGATGTGGCGTTTACTGTACACTTGACTCCTTTTTACCCGACTGCGCCAGAAGGAGGGTTATATTTTTCGAGTGTATGTTATGTATGTATGTATATTTCTTTAGCACGGCCTACAGCCTAAACGGCGTGACTGATTTTAGCGTGAGAGGTGTCATTAGATTCGTGTTAATCGTGAAAATTACATTGGCTATATTCAAATTGAAAAAAATCAAAACGGCGGATAAATCCCTAAAGGGCGCCATAATGTCTTCAAAAAAATTTTTGTTTTTTGTCAAAACCTATCGAGTGGGGTATCAAAATAAAGGGCTTTTATATGTTATTTAACTAAAAATATTAAAATAAAATTATTGGGTCATGTAGTTATGAAATGTCCTGAAAAGTTGATATATCCAGGTTATGAAACTCAGCTACGAAAGTGGATAAAATGTTTATTAATTAATAACCAGATAAGAACAGAGAAAACGTAAACCATTTTCGTAGCTGGTTATGAAACATGGTTTTACAAAAACGACAAGTAAATTCCATTCTCGTAAATGGATATCAAGCAAGAAAATAAATCCATGTTCGTATCTGGTTACCAAAGGTCACTTACGAACGTGGATTAAAGGCATCAGGCCTCCCAAACTCGTCTGGCCAGCGTGGGGAGGGTAAGCCAAATCATTCAGGGACTGGGTAGTCAATGCGAAAAAACGCTCAACGGTTGGAATGTGCAGGTGTCAAAATGTCCATACGGACCGGCTGTTAGTGTGGCAGAAAGTATGAACGTCAAAAAGTCCCAGTGCCAAATGTACATTGTTACCATGGTTACAATGGTTTAGTGACAAATGGTACACATCACAAAATACAAGTACAACAAAAGGTGTGATAGATAAAATGATCAACTGATATATTGTGCTCATGAATAAATTAATAAAATTAAATGTCAAAATGTTCAATGTTCTTGTAGTCTAGTCAATAAAGTTTTTTTGGACATTTTTACCTTGATGCATTTAAACACGTGTTCACGTTAGCTATTATACAATAAGACGCTTGTTCAAATAAACCCGAAGACATTTTAACTTTAGATCATTTTAACCATTGCTCATTTCGACGTTCATACTTTCTGCCACACTAACAGCCGGTCCGTATGGACATTTTGACACCTGCACATTCCAACCGTTGAGCGTTTTTTCGCATTGACTACCCAGTCCCAGAATGGGCCAAATCCTCCATTAGCCTCTGGACATTAGAGGGTCGTGTCGTGCTCCTGCAGTGAAAACTAAAGGACCTGACGATGATGATCATGGTATTACAATGTGGGCGCACCTCAAAAGAGATTCTCAAAACTCATTATAATTGAACTTTTTTGTTGTCACAGGTGACACGGATGAAATCGAGCCTGACCCAGTGACGAGGATCGAAGAAACAGAAGCGAAAGAGACTGAAAAAGTAGGACCGAGGAGTAGAAAGAAGAAAGAAGCATTAACCGCAGCAGGACAGGAGAACAACCCTCTCGAAGAAACGGCGAAAAAGGTAAGTGAACTCATGGGAAGTTTACTTTATAACATGAACTAGCGAGGGTACAATAAAATATCCTTCTTTTTTAATAAGTACAGCCGATAGCATGTCAGCGTAAACACTGTGGTATCTTACGTAGTTGCGATAAGGGCGAATTTGAAACGAAAATGTATAGTATGATGTGCTGTCGTCTGTACATGAAATTAACTTTAGTTTCATCAAAATATTAAACGATTCCTGTCGGTTTAGGATGCTCGCCATGATAATTCAAAATTCTAAAATACATAAATTGCGTTGAACAATTCGTCGCTTGCCTCTCTAACTGACGAATCTGCCATTTTTCTCGAAACTGAGTTATCTACACCATCTTAATCAATTTTGCAAGACCAATCGATCTGTCTAATCGCCTGAAAATTTTGCTCAATGTCAGTTACGTCAGTTAGAGAGGCAAGCGACGAATTTACAAAAATACATTATTGATTCTATTTGTTACAATTAACATGTCATTTTTAATAATCATAATAAAAAAAAATCAATCTTATCGACGATTATAGACGATAAATGTATGGTCTTATCGTGCAAAATCGATAAAAGTTTGTAGTGGCGCGTATCCTAGACCTACTCGTTTATAAACTATCCGATATAACTGTAAATGTAATATTTGGTAGCAAAAGTTAAAAGGTTTTTCTCTATTTGAAAAGAGACACTTCGCAAGTCTTCTAAACTTTTTGTCTCAACTACCCTCGAACGTATCTTGCAGATAAATGTGTTGACCAAAATAATCCTCACAAATCGTGTGGTCTTCTCCCCGCGTTATTCCCAGCTGCCCCCACTAGTTTTACCCCCACTGGGGGCAACTGGGAATGTATTAACAAAAATGCTCCACTTTCCCCCACTTGTGGGGCAAACGGTATTATAAAAGTACTAAAAAATATTACACTCGCGAGCAAAACTATGGAATCACTTACATGAAGTTGTTTCCACGCGATCTTGTGTACTAACGAATTGGTTGGGAACAAAAAAAGTGGCACCATTTTAAAGATTAAACTTTTATCTTTAAATTGATACCAAATTAATTTAAATCACACCGGTATTTAAAAAGATATCCCGGCTGATGTGAAGAAGTAACGAAAAAGACATGTATGAACTGTTTGATACGTCGCGAGTTGCGGCCTATTTACCCCCTATAAAAGCACGCGTTTTCGGATTTTTGCTTTCACACGTTGATTCATACACATCTCCGCTTCTTTTGACACTTTACCTGGGATTCTACACCTTCAGAAGCAGCACAAATCGTTGCACTATTGCAAGAAGGGCTCAGCCAGCGGGCTGTCGCACGTCAGCGCCACATAAGCCAGTCCTGGGTTTCGAAAGTTTTAAGACGCTTTCGGGAGACTGGTGGCTTTATCCCGAGACTAAGTTCTGAACAGCGCCGGCGCACATCGCAGAGGGAAGACCGTTTTTTCATGTCAACCTCTCTATGAAATCGTCATTTGACTGGAATCGACGTCCAGTAAGAGCTCAGAAATGTTCGAAGGATAGCTGTTAGCGAGTAGACAGTTTGTCTAAGACATAAGCAATAGAATTTAACTCCAAAAAGGCCTGCCACAGGCTCGAAACTGACGGCAGGTCACCGATAAGCACGCTTTCAATTTGCTCGTACACATCTCGATGTTAAGTCGAGCAAGCCACCCCCATAAGCCACTGTTTCAGCGAACCAGCACTGCACAAATCGCTCCTCAGGCCGCCTATAAACCCGACCTCTTCGACTGCATTCATCGGAGAACAGAACTCGCTTCCATTACTCGCCTTCCCATCGAGATGTGTACGAGCAAATTGAAAGGGTGCTTATCGGTTACCTGCCGTCAGTTTCGAGCCTGTGGCAGGCCTTTTTGGAGTCAAATTCTATTGCTTATATCTCAGACGAACTGTCCACTCGCTAACAGCTATCTTACGAACATTTCTGAGCTCTTGATGGACATCGAATCCAGTCAAATGACGATTTCATAGAGAGATTGACATGAAAAAACGGCCTTCCCTCTGCGATGTGCACCGGCGCTGTTCAGAACTTGGTCTCGGGATAAAGCCACTAGTCTCCCGAAAGCGTCTTGAAACTTTCGAAACCCAGGACTGGCTTATGTGGCGCTGACGTGCGACAGCCCGCTGGCTGAGCCTTTCTTGCAATAGTGCAACGATTTGTGCTGCTTCTGAAGGTGTAGAATCCCAGGTAAAGTGTCAAAAGAAGCGGAGATGTGTATGAATCAACGTGTGAAAGCAAAAATTCGAAAACGCGTGCTTTTATAGGGGGTAAATAGGCCGCAACTCGCGACGTATCAAACAGTTCATACATGTCTTTTTCGTTACTTCTTCACATCAGCCGGGATATCTTTTTAAATACCGGTGTGATTTAAATTAATTTGGTATCAATTTAAAGATAAAAGTTTAATCTTTAAAATGGTGCCACTTTTTTTGTTAATAACAAATTCGTTAGTACACAAGTTCGCGTGGAAACAACTTCATGTAAGTGATTCCATAGTTTTGCTCGCGAGTGTATTTTAAAATAAAGTAGCGTCTGAACGCAATACTGAAAAAGAAGCAACGGATTCAAAATTAAAAATTGTCATTAACAAAAAAATATTTACAATTTTGTGCCGATGATTCCCAGTATTAGATATAGTATAAGAGATATTGTTTTGGGAATATTTTTCCACCCGGTTTTTATAATTTCTTCATCTCTTTGGTGAAAGTCGAGAGTTATACCTTGATTTTTTAGAATCCAGCAGAGATGTAAACAAACACTTTCATACACAATTACACCATAATCACTTACGTGTTCATAATATCATACACATTATTTAACAAGCCCATGAAACCAACTTTATTTTCACGTTTATACAAGTTTGAAATCAATCTTTGAAACAAATTATTTTAGCAAAATACGTGGACGATGAAAATTTGTGACATTGTCAAATTGACTTGACGTTTAAAATCATGTGTTATCTCCATATTGTCTATGACTTGTCTCTGACACATCAGTGCCGTAACCTGTGAGTCATAGACAATAATCTGTAAATTTAATCGATATTATTTTAAGTATTCACTTATTTCGATTACTGATTAATTTTAAATAAAAAATATACGATACTTTGTTTAGTTTTCCAGCGATAACTTCGACAATATTGGAGATAACGTAAATTTATTTTTCTACTTTTAGTGTTTACTTTTTCGGAGTCAGTTTAATTTTTAGTCGGTTTTATTTAAACGAAATTATGTTACTTTTTTATGCAATTATGCTTACGTATTGTTCCATTGTTTATTTTTAAGAAAATAAAAAAACTTCTTTCAATGAGGGTTTTCGCGATTGAAAAATCCGCCAGATGGCAATACGTAGACGCGAGGTCCAAATGCTGCATGATTGGTTATTTTTGACATGACATTGACAGATATGTCAAAATCCACCAATCACGCAGCAAGCAACAGCAAGCAACAGAAGTTTAATAACTTTACGGATATCATTGATTGTTTTACTGTCCAGTGTGCTTTTTGATTACATCTGTGCATACAGTTTGTTTCCTGTTCTCGTAAATTTCATAATCAGTTCACATTCAATGTTGCGACTTTGTTGCATATTTTTAGTATTTTGACGATCACCCGGCGATGATACGCAAGTACTACAACATTTCACTTCGCGATTAACGAGAGGTTTTGTCGCATCACTAGTTCACAGACTAAAAATATTTTTATGTCAGTTGGCCATATTTGATGACATTTCTGCTGATTTCTAAAAAATTAGACTGTAGATACGAGCCCCCAATTTGTAGGAATTGAAATGCGGTTCTAATTCCCACGTATTCATTTGCCCAAGATAGAAAATAATAAAAATTGTAATTTATAAACAATCGTCGTTCGTCTACACGTCGTCGTACGTCACACTCCCACTCTTCCTTCACTTTCACACATCTTTACGTTCCGTTTCGCACTCATATCCTACACTCGTATTACACGCGGTGCTGCTCGCCAGTTCTGTTACTTGAACTTGGCTTGTCACGCTACTGCGCGCCTAGATTTTATAAATTCGGACTTGCTGTGTGACCACGCCCTTTATTTATTTGAACACCAACAAGGTTACATTGAGGCTTCACAAAAGTAACTATAAAATTGACACTTGTTAAATGCAAACTTAATTATAGGTGAAAACATCATGCGTTAGAGACTAAAGCAACAGCAATTAGGGGTTAAAAACTGAAAATATTTAATGTGGTGTAAAGAAGTCCCTATGCTTGTTCAAATCGGTGAGATTTGTCCAAGCATGTGGACTTGTATTTACGTAAACTAAGGAAAAAAATATCAACATTAACATTATTGGACCTAGACAGGGCATTGTATTGATTAACATTCTATTCAAAGGGGATTTATCATTACGGATACGGACTTTAACGACGAAAATGATAGAATCTACGTTTTGCGTAGGTAGACGCGGTGTGTGGTTCCGCTAGTGGCTCAGTGGTGACGGATACGGACGAAGAACGGACTCTTGGCTGCACTCAAGAAAAGGATGCAACCGTTAGTAAACATATTCTTTATTATTCAAATATACACCTTTTCAAAGCTGGACATTTATTGGTCAATGAAACTGATCCCCAAGTACGAAATCTCGTAATCGTAGAGCTGTAGTTGTCATGACGACGGATTGTTTTGCTGTCACAAGAGGAAATAATTTTATTATTAATTTGTAAAAGTAAATAATAAAGTGTGTTACCCACTAGCTTTTATCGAAATATAATAACACAATTATGCTATGTGTATATTGTCTTGTAATTTGTAACAGCAGATAATCCGTTGTCATGACAACTACAGCTCTAAGGCTGGGTTCCACCATCTTATTTTAACTTTGACAAACGTCAAAAGTCTGTCAAACTCCATACAAAAAACATCGGTTATCGTTATAGTTAGTGTTAAAGTTAGGTGGTGCAACTCAGCCTAAGAGTTATTCATGCTTAGAACAGTTGAACTGATTACATCCAAAAACAGGCTGTGTACATTAACATTTTAACGAGATATTACACACACGGTAAATTTTTGGAGATAGGGTATGTCCAGCTTAAAAGTATATGGGGCTTATTACAAAAAGTTGGACGGGTATTGAACACTTGTTAATTGTTTATGGAAAAAACCGGCCAAGTGCGAGTCGGGCTCGCGCACAAAGGGTTCCGTAGCAGCAAATATAATAAACTTATTATGTCAATTTAATCAACCTATCTCAAAAACTATAAGAGATACTTTGATCAAACCAAAAATCGTTGAAAGAGTTAATTAGCATGCATCACCTCTATTTTTTTTAGAATTTTATACCCCGTAGTTATAAAAATAGAGGGGGGGGGACATACTTTTTACGGGTTAGTCCCAACGGCCCCGGTGGATCTGCCCCGTCAACGGGGCGGATGGGAAAAAGTGTTTCAACGTCCCCGGTAGTCATAGTCTTAGCGTTCAACGGGGTGGTTGGAACACATCAAGTGTCAACCACCCCGGTATATCGTTTAACGGGGCGGATGGATCAAATCAAGTTTCAACCACCCCGGTATTTCACTAATCGTGGCGGATGACACAGATCTAAAAGGTTCCACCTCGGTATTGCATACCGAAAATAAAACCTGTTAATAAAATAAAAAATAATAATATGTAAATAATAATCAGTTTTATTTAACACTGTTTAAAAAATCTTCAGCATAAAAGTAAGTTTAATTGTCACAAAATATTATGGTCATAAACCTATAGATTACGTTTAGAATCACAGATGCGCAATTGCATTAATCAGTCAATATTTATAACACACTAATAGTCTAATGTGATAAAAAGTAACTCTAAAATTGTTACAAAATATTATTATTTAAGAATCATAGATACGTATTTTTTATTTGTTTGTATTGGACTGGGTGTGTAGGGGTTAGTTTCTACGTATAATAAGTATGTATTTGTTACGGTCAAAGTGATAAATGTGAAAATTATGAATAATCACCGGTTATTATTAATAACTAGCGGCCGCCCGCGACTTCGTACGCGTGGACCCCGTTTTAAAACCCTTAGAGGTGAAGTTTCGAGTTTTTTAGGGTTTACCCGGAAATTATTCAAACTTTTCTCGCTGTAAAAACCATCCTTGGACTTCAACAAACATTTAAAAAAAAGAATTGGTAAAATTGGTCCAGGCGTTGTTGAGTTATGCGCTTACCAACACATTTTGCGATTCATTTTTATATTATAGATTACCGCATGATTTGGTAAATGTGATTAATATGAGGTCATTTATGTGTGTATAAAACTAAATAGGCGGCTTAGGGGTGGCCCAAGGGCCACCCCCGCCGCACCTTAACCTATTTTTCACTTTAAATCAAAACATTATGTTATAGGCATCATGGAAAAGTAATATTATGCAAGAAACACTCCAAACTCATTATGCCAAATTATATTAATATATGATATCAAAACGTTCAAAAATTTGGCTGTACACGAGCACGTACACAAGATGTTGTTCTCTTTTATGAAATTTGTTAGTACTATGCTTGAATTATTAAATAATCACTGTTAAATGTGATTCATTTATCACTTTTACCGCGACTGTCGATAATTATTCATAATAACCAATTATTATTAATAACTTTCAATTTATCACATTAACCGTAACATATTTACAAAAAAAAAGTATTTAAGTATGTTTATATCCGTTGTCTAGTACCCATGGTACAAGCTTTGCTTAGTTTGGGACTAGAAGCGCAGTGTAAATGTCTATGTCTAAGGATATTTATTTATTTATTTTATTTATTTAGTTACATTAATCAGTTGTTGATTAACAATAAAAGTAAGTTTAACTGTCACAAAATATTATGGTCATAAACTTAAAGATTACTTTTAGAATCACAGATGCGAAATTAATAATAAGACTCCTGTAAACGTTTACACTGTTGAGATGCTGACAGATTTTCTACTTGTTTTGAAATCACTTCATAATAGGAGGCGTCGCTGAGCAGTGTGTTTAACAACTCTATGATATTCGGTTGCTTTTTTTTTTTTTTATTAAGCTTTTTGTGCCATGCCATGCCTCAAGCATATTAGTAGTCCGGTGTCTCTCTCCAAATACGCACCAGATTGGAATAAACTCGTCTCGTAACCACTGACTGAGCATTTGCGGAAAAGCTTGCTTTTTCCATCGTCAGGGCTCTGGGCAGCTATGTACCATCAACCGTTAAAAATTTGATTTTGTCAAGTGTACTGTACTGCCTCATTTGCCTCAAAATCAATTTTTTAATAGTAAGAACTCTGTAAAAAAAACGGGTCACGATCATAGCAAATGTTGTGATAGGGATATAGACATGCCATTTTTGGTTTTACAAAGGTAATACGATAGAGAATAATACAAAGTAATAAAAACCACCGGTTATAGAGGCATTTTTTGGAGAAATTTATCAAATAACCAAAAAAACACGAATTTAAAAGCAGATTTATTTCAAAATGTATCATTTTTTATTATTTGTTGGCCTTTTTTGTGTATTTGAAGTATTTTTTTAGTATCGCCTGTTATTAAGCATTATTACTGTTTTTATTTTATCAGAATATACCGCTTAGTTTAAAAGTTATTACGTTTTCTTTACAATAAGTAATTGGAAGAAAAAAAATTCTATAAGAAACTAAACAAAAAATTCTCAAAATTTTTTTTACCTCTTTTTTGTCGATAAAAATAGGTTTAGTTTTATCTATTTTCATATGTACACTTTAACGTGACTCACACTGTATTTTGTAACAATTTTAGATTTCCTTGTTACTATTTGTTAGTGAGGAGTTTTAGAGTTACTTTTTATCACATTAGACTATTAGAGTGTTATTAATATTGACTGATTAATGCAATTGCGCATCTGTGATTCTAAAAGTAATCTTTAAGTTTATGACCATAATATTTTGTGACAATTAAACTTACTTTTTTATGCTGAAGATTTTTTAAACAATGACTGTTAAATAAAACTGATTATTATTTACATATTATTATTTTTTATTTTATTAACAGGTTTTATTTTCGGTATGCAATACCGAGGTGGAACCTTTTAGATCTGTGTCATCCGCCACGATTAGTGAAATACCGGGGTGGTTGAAACTTGATTTGATCCATCCGCCCCGTTAAACGATATACCGGGGTGGTTGACACTTGATGTGTTCCAACCACCCCGTTGAACGCTAAGACTATGACTACCGGGGACGTTGAAACACTTTTTCCCATCCACCCCGTTGACGGGGCAGATCCACCGGGGCCGTTGGGACTAACCCCTTTTTACGACTTTGAGAGCTGATATCTCAAAAACCGTTCACTTTAAGAAAAATGTTTTTTAGAAAACTTTATATCATTTTAAAAGACCTTTCCATTGATACCCCACACGGGTATGTACATCGAAAAAAAATTTTCATCCCTCAGTTACATGTATGGGGGGCCCCACCCCCAATTCTTTTTTTTACTATTTAGTGTCATAATTTTGTAGCGGTTCATACAACACATATTCCCATCAAATTTCATCACTGTAGTACTTATAGTTTCCGAGTAAATCGGCTGTGACAGACGGACAGACGGACAGACGGACAGACGGACATGACGAAACTATAAGGGTTCCGTTTTTGCCATTTTGGCTACGGAACCCTAATAAATGACAGTGACTATGACTTGTTTAAATTGAATAAACACGTGTCTAACGTCTGTTTAAGTTTTTTGTAATAACGCCATTATTTGTTTTTCATTTTTTGACCTAATTCTTTCATATTTGATTCACAAAAGACATCAAATTCCAGGAGCCCGACAACTCCATATACACATCTTCTTGGCCCGATGTGCCCGAAGCAGTGACCAATGCATCCTCAGTAGGCAAAGAATGCGTCTTCTGCCACAAGCAATTCGCGGCCAAAACTAGATCGCACCAGCTTCTAGCGCTAAGGACTGACACTCAGCACCATGTTCGTATTAAGAACATGATTTTGGAGCGGCTTCAACCTGAACAGGCAAGTATCTTTTCATCATCATCATTTCAGCCATAGGACGTCCACTGCTGAACATAGGCCTCCCCCAATGCTTTCCATGTTGATCGATTGGTAGCGGCCTGCGTCCAGCGCTTCCCTGCTACATGTATCTTTTAATACTTGAGTCATGAATGGATGAGATCTCTTTAGCATCATAGCTCATGAGTGAGTACAACAACTATCATTTTTGAATCGGTAGCCCAGTATCCTGAAGGGGGGGCAATAGACCATTCTGGGGGAGGGACAACGGACCATTCTGGGGGAGGGACAACGGACCATTCTGGGGGAGGGACAACGGACCATTCTGGGGGAGGGACAACGGACCATTCTGGGGGAGGGACAACGGACCATTCTGGGGGAGGGACAACGGACCATTCTGGGGGAGGGACAATGGACCATTTGGGGGGAGGGACAACGGACCATTCGGGGGGAGGGACAACGGACCATTCGGGGGGAGGGACAACGGACCATTCTGGGGGAGGGACAACGGACCATTCTGGGGGAGGGACAACGGACCATTCTGATGGAGGGACAACGGATCATTCTCCCCCAAGGATTTCCATAACCACTGGTCCTGCGCTGCCCGCATCCATGTTACTTCCTGCCACCAGATCGTCGGTCCACTCCATCACCGGACCATTCTAGGGGGTAAAGGTAGCAGGAAGATGTTGATGAAGGTATGTACGTTTCAGCCAAATTCCGTCCACTGCTGGACAAAGGCCTCCCCCAAGGATGTCCATAACGATCGGTCTTGCGCTGCCCGCATCCAGGCACTTCCCGCGACCTTCACCAGATCGTCGGTCCACCTAGTGGACGTAGAGTACTCCTCAGAACAAAGGCCTCCCCCAATGCTTTTGTGCGTATGTTGCACTGAAAATTGCGTTTATTACGCTGGTTCAGGGAATTTGATTTGAAAGTGGACTGTATAGGTTTTTTGTAATAGAAAATTGATGAAAGGTAGATCAGTCCTCGCAACACAGAGACAGGTAATCTGAGCTTCACCAACCTTAAAATCGACCCTCGCCACGGACGGAAGCCAACCTGCAGACGCACGGCGTTCTGGGCGGTGGAGCACTGCCAGAGTATGCTCGGAGCTGATGCTGATGATGATGATGGTACGCGGAGCACGGCTACACGCGAATTATAGCAAAAGACACGGTCTTTTGAGGGAGTGAACGTCACTCGTAGACTCGCTAAGCGTGCGCGACACACGGGTGTGCGCGATGAGCGTCGCCGGGCAAGTGGGACTTGCTCCGACCATTGGACGATGGTAGGATAATAAAGTTGGCGAAGCAAATGTGAGAATACCCGCCAATATTTTTACAAGGACTGAACAGCTTTTCATATTGCCCGGTTGGTAGCGGCCTGCGTCCAGCGCCTTCCTGCTACCTTTACGATGTGATCAGTCCACCTTCCCTACCCAGAAGTCAGTAAAATCAAAGTCTAATACGATTTTAGGTCCGTGCCTCCCACTACATATGCCACCCTTGCTGGCAAAAAGCCGACAGAGCGGCCAAGCACTATTCTACACCGTCGTCAAGCGCAGTCCCGCGGGTGGTATTGAGGTGTGTCAACTGCAATATTGACGTGGAGCGGTTGAGGCGGCACGTTCTGGACGATGAAGAGATTCTGTTGAGGGTGCAGAAGCAGATCGCGCCGAGAGTGGTAAGTGCTTGGTTTGAAAGAGTAAAATGTATTATTAGAAGCTTTTAACTTGTTTTAACAAGTACTCTAGTCTTGGATGATATACAGGATGTGGTTTTATGATGGAGCTAATTTTTAGTTAGAGCATTTAAATAAAAGCTGGTTTTTTTAAAGCTTTTTTATAATTACTAATTTATTTTATTACTTGACATTAGAGATGGGTCGAATTATCTATCGTTAGACGGAGGGGTCAGAGGAGGCGACTATCGTTTGTAGTCGCCTCCTCTGACCCCTCCGTCGTCGAAAATTATGACATCTACCTTAGGTACTGCAGTAATGTTGCATTTTATTTTTTCTCATATTTTAAGAAATCAGATTTCTAAGTTCTCTCTTATGAAATATAAATAAGAAATGTAGATATTCTTCCGACAAGTAAGATTAGTATGATCGGCAAATTTAAAAAACCCAACTACGACAAAAAACGACGCTGAAAAAGTATAAAACAAGATTTTCAGAATACTGAACTGAATAAAGTAGCTAATGTAGTTGCATAGTAATTTTCATGTTTTATTTTTTCTGTTGACCAACTAATTTTATTTTTCTATTACAGGCGACATCATCCGACTACGTTTGCACCACATGCCATACATTAATACTAACTGACACCATCGACGCGACAATCTCAGAAGTCAACAACGCAAACACTGCCATAGACCCCATCGTAGACCCCATAGTGGGCCATAAGTTCGTCTGCGTTGTATGTGGGAAGTCACTGGCGGGTGCGAGGTGTCACGACGTGTGGGAAGAAAAGAGACGCCATGTTGTGGTCGTGGTGCAGAAATGGGTGGAGCCACGAGAGGTAAAATAATATAATCACTATCGTAAATCTTTCGATCATCATCATCATCTCAGCCATAGGACGTCCACTGCTGAACATAGGCCTCCCCCAATGCTTTCCATGTTGCCCGGTTGGTAGCGGCCTGCGTCCAACGATATCGTCGGTCCACCTTGTGGGTGCACGTCGCACGCAGCGTTTTCCGGTACACGGCTTCCACTCCTGTGGCCTAATTCACGTATTTTGACAGTCAAGATCTCGCTGACGTTCAGAAGTCGTCCCATTGGAAAACAGTTCTAAATCCGTATTCACAAAAGTCTTCTTGATAGGATCGCACTGTGTTTTGTTGTCGTTGAAGTTTTGTTACGTGAATAATGCTACAGAACCTTGCTACCCCATAGGCCACAATCTTTCGTTCGTTTCAGTCAAATAACGTCCACTGCTGGACAAAGGCACCTTCCAAGGATATCCGCTACGACTATCGTAAACATTTTTTTATTTGTTCTGTGACCAGAACATTTTGCCAGTGTCCAGAACATTTTAGTTTAATTATAAATTAAATAAAATGCATTAAATGCACAAACGAAAATGGGCGAAACAATTGAAAAAAAAAACGAAACCATAAAAATAAGGTTTCAATAATATTGGTTATTTATACAAATTAGGATAGGGCCCAACTATCGGCAGTGGGGAGTCTTAGTTTCATCCATTTTGGTTTTATTATCTAAAGACACTGTATTTCACTTACCAAATAAACCGCATTAAAACAACAATTTCTTTCACAGCTGGAACCGTCCCACCGCGTATGCCACAAGTGTTTCCAGCGAGCCGAGGCCGCTTATAAAAAGGAAACCACCAAACCGGAGCCCAAACCTGACCCACCTGACATGGTCATGTTACCAGATATCAAAAGAGCACCTGACACCCACGCCAAGTGTATATTCCCAAAATGCACAGCGAAATTCATGAAAAGCGTCCCACTAAATATACGAGTCAAGTTATTTATATACCACAGCTTTTATGTACCTAAAGACTGTCGAATATGCTCTGACCATTTGAAGGCAGAGCTCTGGTCGGAGTTGGTGGAAGGAAACCAGAACCACTATTTCACGGTTGCGTATGTCGACGATTTTGAGGAGCTATTGAAGGCTAATAAAAAGCTTAATTTGAAAAATAATAAAAAATAACAATATTTTGTCTATCTATAGTCTGGTCTGCGAGCACGTAGAATTTTGTCCAATGACCCCAAGCTACCCATCCTTATCGCTCGCGCGTAATTATATTGCTGTCGCGACTGTGCGACGGGCGCCCGCTGTGAGTGTGCGAGCGCGATAGCAACATAATTACGCGCGAGCGATAAGGATGGGTAGCTTGGGGTCATTGGACAAAATTCTACGTGCTCACAGGCCGGGCTTTAGTTCTTAGTTAATTATCTACGGTTACTTACTCCCGTATTCACAAACGATGCTTGCTTAAGTGAAGCGCCAAATCGAACGCGCAGCGTTGAATAGAGCTCTGTGATTGGTTCGTGTGTCACCCTATGCGTCCACGCGCACCTAGACCTCATAGTAATGTATGTTTATGAATATGATATTGTTAGGAGCACCACAATTGTCTACTGTCTCGAATATTTTTCATTTTATTTTATTTATTTTTATTTTCACCAACTTATACTATCTTTACAGGTCAATAATAAATGGATAAAACACAATTAATTTTATTTTTTAAGTTATTTGAATGGTGCGGATGAAAATCTTTGTTATTTTTGGTTGGTGGGACAACAGTGCGTCAGAATGGACAGTCACTGCCCATATTTTACATCGAAACAAATATTGAAAGTTGCTACCCAGTAACTGTTGGTTAAAAACAAACTCTTAACTAGCGCAGTTTGTTCTCGCTGGATAGGTGACCAGCCATTCTGAGGCTAGGATGGCGAGTCACCTAAGAAAGTAGATTATTTTCTTTAAATCGAGGGTAGCAACTACTCATAACACTCATTTATTTATGTAAATAGGCTTAAAAAAAGCACTTTTACACGTCCCAATATTAACCCTACCACTGCTTCGGGACAATAAATGGGCCAGTGCTGAGAAGAAGCAGCGCAAGAAACTCAGTCACTATTGTCAGCCTCTTTTTCAAAGGTTTACAGGCTTTAAAATATACATAGTTATAAATATTTATGCGAGCTAGGCAGTTACGCATCCCAAACATTTTTATCTTTTAAATAATCATCGACTTTATAGTAGCCCTTTTTCATTAAGGTACTTACTAACTAACAACTAGTAGCAACAGGGTAGCAACTTTCAATATTTGTTTCGATGTGAATATGGGTAGTGACCGTCCATTCTGACGCACACGGACAACGGCATTTTCGAACTTAGAAGCATGTGTTTTTATTAGTTTTACAGCACTTTGAGCATAACTACGTATGTAAAGATTACCATGTATTTAACTTCAAAATGTTGTTAAAATACAAATAGAGAATTTAGTTGTTTTTTGTTATTTATAATATTATTATAAATAAAATTGCTAAATTACAATCTGAGTTTCATTGACTAATCTTTTCCAGACATAAAAAAAATGAATTGTAATTTCTAGGAGTCTAGAATACAGGATTTTTATAACAAATTGGGAAAAAAAGGTAAGCTATCCTGGGAATTTATACTTTGAATTTGTTTATTTGAAGGCAACCCTTAAAAATTCAATTTAACAGCTGATTTCTTAAACATCTGCAGACTTCGGACTTTTTTGACGGTCGATAGTTGGCAAAGACAAACTGGTGTACCTAGAGCACGGTAATACTATCTAATTACCGTGCCTAGAGTATGTGCGCACATTCATACCTTTTCATACTAATTAACAGCCCTACTTTACCATCAGAAAAAAGTCTATGGTCACCTCCAAAAGACAGACGAAATTTTAATAGGGCATCTAATTATATTAGAAAAATTGGACCCTAGCATTAAAACAAAAAAAAATAGGCTAGTTTCTGTTTTTACTTTTCCTAACAAACTAAATGTAATACCTTTATTTTTAAACCCTCTCTGTCATCACATTAATGAGGGCTATCGTTTTAGCGCTCACCAGTTGGCGCCACTGTAGAGTAAGGTCCTGTCACTTGCTAGTAGCGAAGACAGTGGCGCCAACTGGTGAGCGCGAAAGTGGTAGGAGGACCATCGCATTTGCACTCATCAAGATGGCGCCACTGTAGAGTAAGGTCCTGTCAATCGCCAGGGGTGTCAACTGTTAAGTATAAAAACGATAGCCCTCATTACATAAGCTGCTGGACGTGACGTCCTTGTATACGGATGCACTGTCTGGCACGATCGATGCCATGCCTCCGGACCGCACTGAGCACTTCGGGTTCACTCGACATAACATCAAAAAATCTCGAAAACTAGCAATCTAAAAATATGGTTGTACTAGCTTTCCGCCCGCGACTTCGCCCGCGTGGAATTTTGTCTGTCACAGAAAAACTTTATCGCGCGCGTCCCTGTTTCAAAAACCGGGATAAAAACTATCCTATGTTCTTTCCCGGGACTCAAACTATCTCTATGCCAAATTTCATCAAAATCGGTTGCGAGGTTTAAGCGGGAAAGCGTAACAGACAGACAGACAGACAGAGTTACTTTCGCATTTATAATATTAGTTGGGATTGAATTTAAGATGTTTTATTTGTCCCTTAAATATCGTCTGTCTTTTGGAGGTGACCTTATACAGGGTGGAAACGATAAGTGATCTCACTCGATTATTTCTAAACCATACAAGATATCGAAAATCTGGTTCCTGATCCTGAAAGTGCTTTACGAGCTCTTTCAAACGGCACCAATAACAGGTTACAGAATAAACTGGATCTATCCGAAAATTCAATGTTTCCGGCTTCCATACATTTGGTACAGCCTCATAATATTAAAAACTACAGAAGGTATCGTAAAACTGGTTACTGATCCTAAAAGTGCTTCACGAGCTCTATCCAACGGTATCAATATTAAGTTACAGAATAAACTGGATCTATCCAAAAATCCAATGTTTCCATCCCCCATACATTTAGTAGGTACTACCAGAGTCATGGCACTCATCTCTTGATACTTGATACAACACTTTATAGCAAGTAAAGCCTAAAACTATTTTTTTCCTTGAATAATTTTAAATAAAAATGCAATTTACGAGTTTTTTTTAGGTTCATTATTTAATTTTAAAAAATTACACTTAATATTGTGTGGTTGGCATACATTTAGTATGGAAGCTGGAAACATTGAATTTTCAGATACTTCCAGTTTATTCTGTAACCTGTTATTGGTACCGTTTGAAAGAGTTCGTAAAGCACTTTCAGGGTCAGTAACCAGTATTTCGATATCTTGTATGGTTTAGAAATTATTGAGTGAGATCACTTATCATTTCCACCCTGTATAGTTTGCGGGAAGTCTTAAGAAGTTTGTAAACTTGTGTGGTTATAAAGGAATTCTGTAATTGGCCATACCACATTGAAGTTCCTGTCTATGTTAGCACTTTATACCGCTGTATATTTTCTCAATGAATAAATAAATAAACAGATATTATCGTGTTCCAGAACGGCGCGGCGGACGAGAAGCCGACTTGCGAGGAATGCGGGAAGGTGTTCAGCTCCAAGAAGACCTACCGCTACCACCTCAAGTAAGCACCGGAGTAAACACTCCAAACATAACATTGTGTAGAAAAATGGAAGATTTGGTGGAAAGCCACGATATCCCTTTATGATGGTTTAACGTTCTTACCTACGTTGACAAACTTTCAACTTATATTAATAAACAGCTGACCCGGCGAACTTTGTTCCGCCTTAATGGCAATAAATAAGCAGACTTTTTTTTAATTTCGAACGGGATAAAAAGTATCCTATGTCCTTCTCCTGGCTCTAAACTACCTCCCTGTCAATTTTCAGCTAAATCGGTTCAGCCGTTCTTGAGTTATAAGTGGAGTAACTAACACGACTTTCTTTTATATATGTATATAGATAACGAAGGTCTGGGTTTTGACAGCTCATAATAATATGTCAATTGACTGGTGGTTTAACATCTCCTTTTTCTTTATCATCATCAAGTCATTCATTTATTTAAAGGCACAACCACAGAATACAATTCAATAAAATTACATAATGGTGTATTAAATTATGTATGGGAACACAAAACAGAAATTTGGTTTCCATAGGGGTCACTTAATAATTAGGGATTGATGGTGAAAACGGGCATTAGTCTCCTCTACAATAGAAAGACGACCCTCTCTAATTTACCAGAGGCAAACTGGGAAAATTAATTTCTTCTTCAGAATTTTTATCTAATTTAGTGGAACGTGGACGTCCATCCACAAGGTGGACCGACGACCTAAAGGTAGCAGGAAGGTGTTGGATGCAGGACGCTACCGGATAATATGGAAATCATTGGGGTATAGCAGTGAACACCTGTGGCTGATACTATGATGATGATAAAATTTATTGAACGTAAAATCAAAGTAAAAAGGGCGAACTAAATGTTATTGCATTCTCTGAACCAGCAGAAAAGTACCCATACTTATTAGCTATTTGCATCCTTGCAGTGTTCTCCACAAGGGCCAGAATCGCTACCCGTGCCCGCGCTGCGGCAAGGTGTACCAGTGGAAGTCCAACCTGGGCCGACACTTGCGGACGCACAAGGTATGAAGCAATCAATTAATAATTTACAGTCGTATGTACATACTATGCGTGCCAAAAACGGATATAAATGTTGCAGCAACTAGCTTAATGAGCCGTTCAATACAACAGCCTAAAGTCCGGTCGCCGAGCATGTAGAATTTCGTCCAATGACCCCAAGCTATCCGTCCTTATCGCTCGCGCGTAATAATATTGCTGTCGCGACTGTGCCACGGGCGCCCGCAGTGAGTGTGCGAGCGCGACAGTAATACAATTACGCGCGAACGATAAGGACGGTTAGCTTGGGGTCATTGTACGAAATTCTACGTGCTCGGCGACTAGACTTTAGTCCTGCAAGTTTGCTGGTGTATTACAATTAATAACACTGTGTATAGTTCGTTTCATCCACTCGGCCGCGCCCCATGTGTGGTCCCGGTCGCGCGGGGTGCGGGGAGTGTGGTCCGAGCAAGCCGTAAGGCATTACTGTAGTGTGCGTGTGCACTCATGGAGCATTCGCGTGTACCGATAACACGAGAACATTCGCGGGAGAATGGTGGGGCGCGTCCGAGTGGATGAA